TGAGTGGGTGGGGTTAACAGGGCGGGAGCCGAGGCTTTAGTGGGCGGGGCAGGCGTTGGCTCAGAGTCTGGCGCTGGGGTGGGCGGGGCTAACCATGCCTCCTCCTCCTCCCCAAAGCCTGGGTTCTTGTCCTGGGGATCTAGGGAACCTTGGGAAGTTTCTGAATTTAGGAAGGTCAGGGTCGGTTCTATGGAAGGAGATAGAGCAGACTGGAGAGAGCGTGCGACCTGAGTCCCCCTGGCTTCCCTCACCTTGGGGACCTCCCGCCGCTGTGCCACAGGAACTGGCAGCCTCAGACCGTGGGCGGCGACAGGCACAGCAAGACCGGGATGAGATGGCCGACGAGTTAGCCAATGGCAGCCTTAGCAAGTGAGTTGCCCGGTGCCGAGGGTCGGGGTCCCCCGGGGCCGTGCTGCCCTGATCCGCTGTGTCCCCCTCCAGGGCGGCCCTGCAGGAGGAGAAGCGGCAGCTGGAGGGGCGCCTGGGGCAGCTGGAGGAGGAGCTGGAGGAGGAGCAGAGCAACGCTGAGCTGCTCAATGACCGCTACCGCAAGCTGCTGCTGCAGGTGCATGGGGCTGCCCCTGCCCCTCCCTGAGACCCGCACCCACATCCTAAGAGGTTCATTTTGGCTCAGTTTCAGCCCATGGTCAGGTGCCGGAGGGCAGAGCGGCCTGGCGGAGGGAAAGGTGCCCATCTCATAGTGGCCAGGAAACGGAACGGAGGAACCGCCCCCCAACAGTGCCTAGCTGGGGGCCAAGCCTTTCACACATGGACCACTAGGGAGCATTTCCAGTCCCAACTAACTAGCGGAGCCTGGTAGGGCATGACTGTAAGCCCAGCACCCTGGCAGGCTGATGCCCAGCCTGAGCCACACAGCAAGACCCTGAACTAATGTAAAAATTTTTTTTAATAATTTAAAGGGCTGGATGGAGAAGTAGCTTATTGTAAAGGCCCCCAGTACTGAGGGAAAAAAGAGAAACAGAATTAAGTCCCTGGACCCAATGAGTTTTCGGGAAATAGAGCCCAGAGAATTGGGCCGAGAGTATGTGAGGGGAGAGACCCAGACAGAGAGCAGCTCTAGGTCCAGCAGCCCAGATTCTTTAGCAGATTTATGATAAGGAGAAAACTGCCGAAGAGAAGCACAGGCAAAAGACGCTTAAAAGATATAAAGGATTCCACTGTGGGATATAAGGGGTTCTGCCATGAGTAATGCAGTGCACGCCTGTGATCCTAGAACCTGGAGGCTGAGGCAGGAGGATCACTGTGAATTTCAGGCCAGCCTGGGCTACACAGTGAGACCCTGTCTCAAAAAAATAATAAATAATAATAAAAACAAAACTGTAAGGAGACGCAGGTGATTGCCCTAAAAGTGAGGGGAACATGCTATTTTGAGAGGCAGGAAGGGACTATGATCAGGATGATCCCTCATAATATTCTAATGCCTTTCCTGGAGCAGCAAGGCTGCTCCTGACTGAGCTGCTGTTCACAACAGCATCTGCCTTTTGGGAGTGGGGCTGGGCCCGGCTATGTAGTTCAGGTGGTTTTGAACTCACTATGTAACCCAGGCTGGGCTTGAATTCTCTGCGATCCTCCTGCCTCAGCCTTGAGAGTGCTGACCACAGGTGTGCACCCCCACCCCCAGCTCAATGTGTCTGCCTTTCAGGGACTCCTGCTGCCTGCCCTCTGTTTCATGTTGGGTTCCTGCCGCATATCATCGTTTTATTTTAGAGTAGAAAATTGAGAAAAATAGAGGAGAATGCGCTCCTCGCCCCATCCGTGTGTACGAGTGAGGGTGAAATAAGATCGGAGTGAGTCACTTCCGGTCCCCCCCCACACAGGGCCGCACTCGGAGCACAAGCTAAATCGCCCGTGGGCGGCGTGATCCATGTGTGTTTACACATCTGCTGTGAAGCTGCTGCACACCCCGCTCTGAGACCTGCAGATTCATGGGCCCCACTTCTGGCTGCTGAGTGGGAGACTCTGGGCCTGCATTTTTCTCACAAACTCCCGGGTGATCCTTCCACAAACTCAAGTGTGATCTCCCTGGGAACTGACTCACAGTCAGGGGTGGAATTTATAGTGTTTGAACAAGTCAGTGATGGTCTTGGGGAGTTATTAAAATAGCAGAAAAAGATCCAACCGGTGAAAACCCAGGGCTGGCAGTGCTGTCAGGTGATGCTCTGTGGACTGAAGGTACAAATTAGCACTGGTGCTTAGTGTGTGTGGGCTCTGGGCTGTGCAACCCGCTCGCTTACTTCCGGGAGGTGCCTGGCTTGACCGTCTCCTTCCTCCTTGTCATCGGCCGCTGTCCTGGTGACCTGCCCTCCCCCGTCCGCTGCAGGTGGAGACCCTGACCACAGAGCTGTGTGCTGAGCGCAGTTTCTCAGCTAAGGCCGAGAGCGGTCGGCAGCAGCTGGAGCGGCAGATCCAGGAGCTCCGGGGGCACCTGGGTGAGGAGGATGCTGGGGCCCGGGCCCGCCAGAAGATGACAATCGCCACCCTTGAGTCTAAGCTGGCCCAGGCTGAGGAGCAGCTGGAGCAAGAGGCCAGGTTGGTGGTGGAAGAGGTTGCTTTGGGCTGCGTGTGCCTGCAAGCTCACTGAGTACAACTTACACAGCAATGTAGCAGTCAGCTATAGCTGCTTAACAAACCACCCCATAACTTAGTGACTTCAAATAGCAAGTGTTTATTTTTGCTTTTTATTGTACTCTTGGCTAGTGAGTGCCCTTGAGCTGGGCTGGGTGGGCCTCACTCCCTCATTTTCCTCAGTTGAGGACCAGAATGGCATATTAGCTGATCTTGACTGGGCTTAAGGAAGTGTAAGGCCTTTCCAGGGACAACCAGGTGGCCCCTCACCCTCCAGCTGCCGAGCTCAGGATAAGCACAAGGCAGAGCCAAAGTCCAAAGAGAGAGGAAAAGGGCTAAAAGCCTTCTGAGGCCTAGACTTAGAGCTGGTTCTCTGGTCACCTCAAATTTCATGGCATAGGGGAAAAAAAGCAACACCTCTTGACAGGAGCAGCTGCAGTCTACTAAAAAAGTGTAGATACAGTAAGGGGAATGAACTGGGGCCGTCTTTTTCACCTATCACAAAAGGACTTCTTTTTGTCATATGAGTTGGATTCCAGCAGCCAAAAGATGGTTGCATCTGCGTAGTTCCCTTGGTCTTTTCCTTGTGGTCACAAAATGGCTGCACTTGCACCAAGCACCACATTCACACATATCCACATCATATCCAAGAAATAGCGGCAATAGCTTCTACCCTCCACATAACCAACACCCCAGAAGCTCCCCAAACTCCATCCTTAAGGCCCCTACAGCCAGTTGTGGTGGCTCATGCATGTAATCCCAGTATTCAGGAGGCTGAGGCAGGAGCATTGCCACAAGTTCAAGGCCAGCCTGGGCTACGTAGTTCGGCCAGCCCACAATCCACAGCCAGACCCTGTCTCAAAAATACAAAACCAAAGGGCCTCCATAAGACTTTGTTACCTAGACATGATTGGTCATCATTGACCTTTGGCGATCAGCTCAACTTCCAATTCCTCTCCCCTCCCTGGGGGTGAGGACACTGGGACTCTGATCACATGCTGGGGTCCCCGGCACCTTGCCCCCATCCTGAATCCAGCCGGGACACCCACCATCAGCCATCCAGTCGTTGCGCTAAAAGACCAGCGCTTGAGAGATTCCCTGGGCTCTGGGAGCTGCATGCCAGGAAACAGGAGGAAGACCAGATCTGTCCATGGTTACAGCAGGCATTTTAGGACACCAAGTGACACCGTAGAAGCCAAGGACACCGGTGCCCTGGGTGCCTCTGAGCGGACTGGGTGCCAGCAGGGGATGGTGAAGAGTGCGGCAGCCACCGGATGGGGACACGGGGCACCCGGCCAGCATCCTGAGCCCTGCCTCTCCCTGCAGGGAGCGCATCCTCTCTGGCAAGCTGGTGCGCAGAGCCGAGAAGCGGCTGAAGGAGGTGGTTCTGCAGGTGGAGGAGGAGCGGAGGGTGGCCGACCAGCTCCGGGACCAGGTGAGCGGGTCGCAGCTTCAGTGGACAGGGGGCACACAGTGTCCCTAGAGGCACAATGAGCAGCGGCCAGTGTGGGGCCGGAAACACACGCAGACCCCAGCCAGGGCTGGAGCATCAGCAGAGGTGCAGAGGCAGCAGCTCTGCCATCCACAAAAGCTGGCATTTAGCACAGGCGCTGGCAGGGAGTGAGGCAGCTGGCTTGGGGGTAGGGTTGGACTTACTCAGAATCAAGATCAGGATGAAGTCAGAATGTTCACTGAGTGCTTTGTGTGTGCCAGGCCCTGGGCTGCAGGCGTGACAGGTAGCATGTTTCAATCTTAGCAGAGCCACTGGAGGTAGGCACTGTTATTTCCCCTCTTATTTAGGTAAAGAAACTGAGGCACAGAAATGTAAAGTGATTTGCTCAAAATTATTAAGCAAGTAGGAGGCCAGGATTCAGACTTTGGCCTGAGTCTTTTTTTTTTTTTTTTTTTTGTACCGGGGATCAAACTCAGGACCTTGCTCTTGCAAGGCAGGCAGTGGAACCACTGAGCTAAATCCCTGGCCCCCAGCGTCTGTGCTGAGGACTGAACCCAGGGCCTTTACACTGAGCTACATCCCCAGACCTTTTTATTTTTTATTTTGAGAGAAAAGTCTCGCTAAATTACTAAGTTAGCCAGGCTGGGCTCAAACTTGTAATCCTCCTGCCTCAGCCTCCCAGAGTGCTGGGATTGCAGGTGTGCACCTCCATTGCCCTGCTGTACTTTAGTTATCTAGCAGTTACTGTGTCACAAGCTTTTTCCTTTTCTTTTCTTTTTAATGGACACTAGCATATCACCAGTCCCACTTCACAGGTAAAAATCTGAAATTTGAGGAGGACGTATAATTTTCACCAAAGCCAGAGTTTGAGGTGGCAGAGCTGGATCAAATCCCAGGTCCAGCCGGGCATGGTGGCGCACTCCCATAATCCCAGCACTCGGGAGGCTGAGGCAGGAGGATCGCTATGAGTTCGAGACCAGCCTAGGCTACACAGTGAGTTCCAGAGCAGTCTGAACTACATAGTGAGACCCTGTCTCAAAAAAAAAAAAAAGAAAAACAATAACAAAACAAATCCCAGGTCCACCTGGCTCCGCCAAGTCCCTGTGCCCTTAGAAACGCAGGTGAGCTTTATTCGCTGTTCACTCCTCAAATGACAAGCACCCCCTGCATTCCTGGCCGGGTCGGGCCTTGGAGCTTGGCTGAGAATGAGGCAGACGTGGTCTTCCGAGCTCACCGTCAGCACAGGGAGGGCAGCGCTGAGTGAGACGTGAGCAAAGGTGAGAGCAGAGGCCACCGAGGGCTGGGAGGGAAACAGAAGAAGAGAAGACACAGGAATGGGGCCTCCCCTTGGGTCAGCACCATCAGAGACACCTCTGCGGAGGCCACATCTGTGTTGACACAGAAGGGTGAGGACGAACGAGGCAAGGGCAGCAGGGGCAAAGGCCCTGGAGAACGGAAACAAGCTCGGTGACTTCGGAGCAGCAGGGCCACCCAGGTTAGGGTTAGATGCAGTGAGTTCCCGCGTGTCCCTCCCCGGAGAGAGACAGCGGAGGAGGCCGGGAGGGTCTTGGTGAACTGGCGTGGACGGCCCAGGGCCGCGCTGAAGATGGCCTGAGGGTCTCGGGGGCAGGACAGGGACGGACAGAAGGCAGGGGGCCTAGGGAGGCGGCGCCCGCGGTGTCAGCCGGCGGCTCCGCTGCTCCGCACAGCTGGAGAAAGGCAACCTCCGGGCGAAGCAGCTGAAGCGGCAGCTGGAGGA